TATTGGTCTTATGAAGTATTCTAATTTGTTGAGATAGTGAATTGGTGGGTTTTTGTTAAATGTGAGCCAAAATCATCACAATTAAAAGAACCAAAGACTTAAACTACTTCAGTCTGTGTGCATTGAATTTATTTAATACACGAGTTTCACAATTTGAGTTAAATTACTGAAATAAATGAACTTTTCCATGACATTCTAATTTACTGAGATGCCCCTGTACACGAGGTCTGTCCGGAGAGTATCCAGCCATGTAATATCAAAATATTCTGCAAAATCCTTTGTTGGAATCGCCTTCAGCTGCCTTGTTGTATTCTCTTGAATCTCATCGATGGTCTGAAATCTCTTCCCTTTCAAAGGTGATTTTAGTTTTGGGAAAAGCCAGAAGTCGCAGGGCACCAAATCTTGGCTGTAGGGGGGGGCCGAGTCACCTGGGTGATTTGATGTTTCGCCAAAAACCTCTGCATGAGACGTGATGCATGGGCGGGTGAACTGTCGTGATGAAGCTGCCAGCCACCAGTTGCCCATAGCTGTGGCCGTTTTCATCGTATTGCATCTCATATTTTTCATATTACATGGCTGGATACTTTCCAGACAGCCCTTGGACATTTAGTGGTTTTAGCGGAGGCTCTAAGTGGACATGGTGATACAATATGAGATGAAGTGAGAAAATCTATTTCAATGCTTCTGCGGTCTTCCGAGAAAACTTTTGTTTTGAGTTTGCTAACTGAGAAAATGCAAATGTTTTGTGTTTGCTAACAAAACATTTGCATTTTCTCACAAAAGTATTGCATTCCCAGAGCAACTTGGCGTTGGCTCACAAAACATTTGCTTCTCCCGCAAAAGTATTTCGCTCCCCAGAGAAACTAATCACTCGTTCGCAAAACTTTTGCATGCTTTCATAAAAGTACTGCACTCCCCCAAGAATACTTTGCGTTCTTTGAGTTTGCTTCATAAGCCCTCAGTATATTGTCAGGAGCCACGGGTATTAATTTTGTGTTCCCTGATATTTTTTTGACTCTTAAAGTGACGAGAACCACTGACTTGCATTTTATGCATTTCCAAGGACCATGGTTTCAGCTAAAAATAAATCTTCTTTATGGTTTTACTGAATAAAAAAAGTCACCTACACCATGGATGGCCTGAGGGTGAGTAAATTCGCAGCAAATTTTCATGTTTGGGTGAACTATCTCTTTAAATTACTCCAGATAAATGATGTAGGATGCTTTACCGTATTACAGGCATGCAGGAGCTGATGTACAGACTGAAACACACTTGCACCAGAATTGAGGGCCGGAGGGGCTCTCTGGCAGTACGCCTTAAAGTCTGTGTTGTAGATGTGTCCGAAAGCTGTCATGAGCTGAGACATGTCTGAGATGGCCACTTTCAGCGCACAGGGGGACAGCACAGCTGCAGAACCTGACGAATGTGACTGCAGGAACTCACACTGAGGAACAGAGAGGATCACGCTATCATGGAAACCAAACACATCAAATCAGATGTGAAAAATGGCACATGATGGTCCCACCTCTTTGTGGAGCTCGTCTAATGTGCTCTGGGTAGACTGCAGCAGCGCCATGGCCTCTGTCAGGCTTTCTTCTCCATGACTTCCTAGTCGGGAATGTTGATCACTCCTTCAATGCCAGTAAATAACAACCGTGTTAAAGACAACAGTTTGAAGAAAAAAAAAACTTGTACATGGGTGCATAACAATCACACAGACCTGTTTATGAAATCGCTGGGTTTACTGTGGTTTCCGTTTGTTTTGTTGCGAGTTGACTGCGTGCGTATTAGATATTCACGGATATGCGCAGGCCACGGGTTGCAGACTGGATTCAGGAGCATATCCAGGTCAGATAAGTGGTCCTGAAACATCAGCTCCCCAAGAAGATCATCGTTCTTTACACTGTCATCACCAGAGCACGAGTTCTGCCTACATCCATCAAAACAAACAACAGAGAAACAAGACCACTTTAAATTATTGTAGGCCTGAGGAGGGCCTGACTCAAGGTTGTTGTTGTTAAATCAGTGTTACAAAAAACTGCACAAGTCAGATACCTAGAGTTTATGGAGGAGTCTGCTTGAATCACCATTAGAATCTGCTCCAGAAACCTCAGTTGCCGCAATGGTGGTGCACGGCCCTGAAAATATAACAGATTAATTCCTTCTGTTTTAGTCCTTCTGCATTTAAAATGATTAGATACGATTCTTAACCAAGTATCAATCCATCCCCAAACAGTTTTTGCTTGTTCAAACATGTTCTGTATAAAATGTTGTATTTCAATGAAGTTGTCAGCAGTGTTGCTAAAGGTGCAAGTGAAACTAAAAAGATCAAACTTTCAAAAACATTTCACAGTAATCTCTACTCTGTTCCTTCCATAAAATGCACTAGACCGTATAAAGAACAACATTGTAGAACTTCATACCTTAATCAAATCCTGGTCATTAGCTTTACATAACATCATTTCATAACCAAACCGTGTGAGTTCTGTGTGCAAGAGAGAAAGCACAACAAAACAATAAACACAAGAAAATAACAAATAAATAAATAAAAAAACTGAGCAGACCAAGCTTTGTTCGACCTTTTCTTTGCAAATAAATAAATAATCAGAGTAACAGCTATATTTATGAAAAAATGAAACAACATACTTATTCTGACCAATATATTAAAATATATAAAAGAAAATAAGATCATACTAAATTTTACTTTAATTCAATTACAATTCATTTGGGGGGCTGCTTTGTGATCCTTATATACAGTCTTTTAATGTCATCTAATGATTCTTGCCTCACAAGATTTTTTTGGTATACAGGTATGAACTACTGTTACGCTGAATTACATTTTCGAGGGTGTCTTCTGTAAATCATGGTAAAAATGTACGATAGTCATTGTTTTTTGATCAGAAAAAAAAATCTAAATAAAAAATTATATATATATATATATATATATATATACACACTTTAGACACAAAACACTACTACAGACTCAAAACAGCCGGTCAAAAAAGCTCGCAAAACATCAGAAAATGATTGAATGTGTCATTTTCTGTGTGTGGTGTGTCTATAAAGATGTGTAAACTACCTGGAGGCTGTTGTAAACTCGCATAGACAGCAGCTGCTCTTTTGAATTGTCCGCCATGTTGTTATTCCTGCAGTGAGTCTGTGCGTCAGTGGCGTTCAGCGCCTGCGGTTACAGCGACCCCCAGCGGCCACGCGGACATTACAACTATGATTACACTATGATTATGCGATGATTACGCTGGGAAGGCCTAATGATGATTATCATATCTACCTTGTGCATTATAAATAATTATAATAATTGAAGATTTGAGCATTTTTTGATGATTCAGCAAGACAAAAATTGTGAGTCTTTTATTTCTTATATCCTTCTGACACCCAGCTATGGGGTTTTGTCCTCTGTTGCAGACACATTTTAGTGAATTTCTCCGACACCTTAAATGTCACTGATTTAAGTCTGGATGTCCTGTAAAGAGCACATTACCAAATGTTTGGAAGTTTCACCATGACCACTCCCTCTCCTTGGTTTTTAAAGTGGCTGACATTAATGTAGTGATTAAATTTAACACCCTTATGGAAATATGATAATATTTTGTAATGATCATTTAAATCTGACTAATTGTTGTTTTGACTAATAATTGTTTGTCATAAATCAACATCTTAGGAAAATGTTATGGGGCTTCAAATATGTCAAAATATGACTTCTGTTACGAAACAGGACATGGATTCCATACATGTCAGGACACCAGGAGTTAAAGCATGTTTATTACGCTTTTTGGGAGACACAAGTGAATAGGGAAAGAAATTATACATCAATATTCCTATGAAATATTAGCTATTATTATGAAGATTTTGCCAATTATTACTCCCATTATTACACTTCTTTTTTCATTACATGTTGCCCCAAGAACACATTAATATGCAAGTTAGATACAGTGCATAGATACATTGTATATTATGGGAAAACCTGTTCATTTTACACACAAATAGCATAAAGGTATATCAAATCACTCTGTTATATCTTTCATAACATAGTTGAGAATCATCCTTTTATAAAATTTTGTATAAAGAATAAAAACTGATTTTTAAAATGGGTGAAAAAAAGAATCCCACTGTTTTAGCCTTTACATGTCTATTCATGTCTTTTTATTTTTCCTGTGGCCGGTTGCATAAACTGCTTAGACTAGTCTTAAAATGTAGACACCTAATTATTTTCTGCAAGACTGGTCATAATTTTTAAAAAAGTCAGTTACATAAAAATGAAAAAAAAACAAACAAACTGAAAGACTGATAACCACTTGGTTAACTGCTAGTTAGTCAAACTAGTTCTTATGACACAGTCTTAATGTGGTGACTATGTTTATGCAACTGGCCCCTACTATAGAGGACATAGCATAACATATGAATAAAATATAATTTTTAAAAAATGTTATTTTTCCTTTTTTTCTTATGTTCTAAACAATAAATGACATGAAATGACAATGTAATGGCTTTTTTCCCCTGGTGGTCAGTACAGGAGGATATTTCAGGTATATTTACTGTTTTTACGTCTTCATCTTAGATAATATGCAAACTGGTTTATCAATACATCCCACATATTTTGCTGGAACAAATCAAATGTCAAATGTACTTTATGAAACAGCTTGATTAAATGATTCAAAATATTTCTGGACAAAAATATGTTTTATCTCAATGAGGTTTTCAGTAGTGTTGCTTTAAAGATGCAATAACCAAAACAAATTCACAAACATTTTACTATAACCTCTACTGTGTTCCTTAAACAAAAAGGTGTCCTTAATGCCTGCTGTCTTTCACATAAACTGAGAAAATGACAAATTCATAGTTTGTTAAAATGTGCTGTCTAAAATTACAAAATATCATATAAGATCTTTTGCTTAGATATGATATGGAGGACAATGTCCAGTAATTTGTTCGGGAAATACATGTTGATGACACAAAAGGCAAGTTGAGTGCCAATTCTTATGTGCTTATACATCTTCAGTGAAGTTTAAAGATCTGGTCTGAGCGAGTGCAGTTTCAAATATTACGCTGCCCCTGAAAAAAGGGATGAGATGTAAAGTTAATACAGTCTGAGAATTATTAATTATTCCGATGTGAGAATAAAGAAGGGATAGATGTTTATAGATGTGCAGATTTCTTATTGTGACATTTCCTCAATTAACTATAAAAATTATGTAAATAATGAGAATAAATCTATTTTCTAATAATGAGACTTTGTTGTTACTCTGCTCACCCTCCAGACTCAAATCCCAATGCTGTGATGAAGATGTTGATTAGAACAGTAAAGAACACAAATACAGTTGCCGCGTCATTCATTGTGTTTAGCCTCGGCTGTATCTTAACATCATTCAGGTCATACTTCACTGAAGGGAACAACAGAAAACACATCTGTGTTACGTCAATGAAATTGCAGCAGAATATGTTCAAAGAAACTTAATAACAGACATAAGTGTAAACTAACCAATGAAGATGAGTAGGAGGCCAACAGCGACCTGCAGTGAGATGGACAGTGAGATCAGAGCGATAAGAGGAGCATAGAAGCGGTGCTGCGCTCCTGAATGCAGCACTGTCTTCAGCTGAGAGGAGTTCGCCATCAGAAGAGCCACATCCAACATGCTCTGTGCTGCACTCTTCTTAGTAGCGTAATGGTTCATGTTGAAGGGACGCTGTGTGTTCCCTGCACCAGGAGCCTGACGGGGAGTCAACATTACATAAAAAGTCCAATGCTGAACACTGGAAACATTAAACATTCTATATTCCCTCCAAATGAATATGTATATCTTAAATAACTCCTTTAACTAATGTTCCTCTAAAGAAAAAGACAGAAGAAATAAACATCTGGCTTTGCTCATTATGGTATTATTACTAGGCTATAATAGAACAGAAATCAAATAAGCTGGTAAAGTGGTACCATAAAACAGGGATGTTCCGAATGAGATTGCCGGTGGATTTTAATTAGTATGTGAGGTGTAAATCTTTGGAATGAATAGATTTAAACAAAATTACTTTAAGCCGAAAATAATTTTCTGAGATTTTAAATGTCATAATTACATGATTATACTGTAGTGAGTAATACTTAACAACATGTAACATTTCATATGAAATAATTTTTCTAATCCTGCTTAATAAAGTTCACACGGTTACATATAGGGAAGCGTATAGTATCAAAAATATCTGCCATTTTTCAAATATCAGTAACATTATGAAAACATACGATTTTATATACAGTAAGATGACCAACAATCTGCCCAGAAATTGCATGTAAAATAAAAAGTAAAGCGTTATTAAACTGAGTAATGGAGACCTCAATCAGAAGATGAGGGTTAAATATATATGTGTGTGATATGATTGTGCTCAAACATTTCTATGCAAATTAAGCTGAACATCAGAATGGTCATAAGTCTTGATTGTTTAGTGTCAGGGGTCTCCTCTGACTGTTCTGTCTGTCTTGTGTTTGTTTCATGTGCCCTTGTGTTTGAGCACATGGCTCTGACTTTGTTTGTTGTGCTCCTCTTGTCCTGCCTCCTTGTTACCAGTTATTGAGTCCTCGTTTTACTGAGTGTTGTCACCTGTTCCTTATGTTCTCTGCTCCCTTTATATTGTGCTTCTTTTCCCTCTTGTGTTGCCAGTTTGTCTAACTATTCTTTGTTGTGTTCTTCCTGTCACTAGTAGTCTGTAGAGTATTGTTGATTAAGCTTCTTGTACTACTACTTGCTAATTCTAGTCTTGTTTTGTTCAGTCAACTGTTCTTGAGTTTCCTTGCTATTGTTTGGTATTATTCCCTTTAGTTTTCTCTTTATTTTGCCATTGTAGTTTGCTTTATGCTTTTTCTTCTTTAGTTTATTCCTAGTTATAGTTTTCTCCATTTGTTTTCTACTTCTGTAGTAGTTTTTCTATTGGTTGTCTTTGCCATCTGTCTTGTCGTGTCGTGTCATGTCTTGTCTGCGGTGTCCCTTGTTTGTTCCAGCCCTGTCCTGCACGCTGAGCCTCCCTGGCTGCATATTCTAACTGCCAAGCAGCAAGACCAGCGCAGTGCTTGATTGTGCCGTGAGTTGACCCTCTTGTGCTGTGTGATCCTGCCTGGTCCTCGCTGTTCTCCCCAGTCTAGCTCTGCCATCCCTTCGCAGTTCTCCTACCAACTGCCATCCTGGGCTGGACTCGGCGGCCACTCTCTCAGCCTGCCTGTCATTGAGCCTCACCTGTCTGTTTGCACTGATCACCTCCTTTCCCTCAATTTCTTGTCTTGTCAGCTGTCCTGTCAATAAACCTGTTAACACTCCTTCTGTGCTTGAGTCCTCTCTCATAGATTCCCTGACAATTTAGGGCATAACAGTATTTTTAATTTTAGTATATTCAAACTTATTTACGTTCATGCATATGTAAGTGTCGTATATGCATAATCAAAAAAGCACCACATGGTGTGCATTATTACTTTTCCCCACAGAAATCATAATGTCAAAGATCCTCAAATTGTTAGTATATAGGTTTTATCTTACATTTCTTTTGAATGTTTGTGTAGTTGCTCCTGTGTAGTCAAAACATTTGATATATTTTCAACATGGATTAAAGATAATAACTTTGTATTGGTTATATACAAAAGATGGGAATGACAACATCTCCAGGGTACGCCTGTAGTTGTGTCTGTCAGCATAGCAGTTTGGGGTGGCGATGAAGGCTGTTCTCAGTTCTTTCAAACCTACATATTCTGTGAGAGCAGCCAATCCGTCCACTCCCAAATATGCTATTCATAGTCTTACAAAACAGAACTGGTTTAATTCCTCTTTCACGTGTCAAATGTAGGCTACTGCAATAGATGTTTATTACAATATTTTGTAAAACTGGCACACTAGGCTGGCTAATCGATAAACCTGTAAATAAAACAGATAAACAGCAAATAAAACAATTTTAAGATAAATAACATAAAACAACGTCTCCATTCTTTATTCTTCTAGCCTTAAAACAGTAACCGAAATGTTTTGAACGGAACGGTTTCCGTTTGTTGAATAAAAAGCATCAAACAACAGAAAAAGCGTTACCTTTCCTGATTCATTGAGAGGTCGGTTCTCCTCCATCGAGTCGGATGCTCAATTTAGCAGGATTATCTAAAAGAAGCATTCGATGAGCTCACGAAGTAATGACAGCCTACAG